CCACCACCAACTACAGGAACACAAGAGAGAGGTGAAAGACAAATTTTGTACCTTGATCGACCGATAGAGGGCAGCAGAGTTCTGTTAAAGGTTGTTCCAGTACTCCTTCGTCACAGTGGCCAGATCTTGGATACTTACGCAGTGCTGGACGATGGATCAGAAAGAACTATGCTCTTACCAGCTGCTGCACAAGAACTGGGGCTCAAAGGCACTCCGGAAACCCTGCCTTTGCGCACAATCAGGCAAGATGTTCAAACTCTTCAGGGCACCTGTGTTTCTTTTGCCATTTCCCCCAAAGCTAAGCCGAGGACCCAGTACCACATAAATAATGCCTTCACCACGGCCCGCATCGATCTGGCTGATCGCACCTATCCCATTGACTCACTCAAAGGGAAATATAAGCATCTCAACAGACTACCTATCCGTGCCTTTAAGAAGGTAAAACCTCTGCTGCTCATAGGAAGTGATCATCCACACCTCCTTGTTCCCACTGAGCCTGTACATTTGGGACCCCCAGGAGGCCCAGCAGCTGTTTGTACCAAGTTAGGTTGGACATTACAAGGCCCCTCCAGCATCATCTGCCAGCTGGATAGACCACAGCAGTGCTTGTTTACCTCTGTCCCTCCTCAGGTGAGTGAGTTAATGAAACATGTTGAGAAGCTCTGGCAAACTGACACCATTCCTCTTGTCAGTGACAAAGATGTAACCCGCTCCAAACAAGATCACAGAGCTCTTGACCTGCTTACAAGTAGAACCACCCGGGTAGATGTTRATGGCATTTTACATTATGCTACCCCYCTGCTACGTCACAAAGACATGCCACCTCTACAAGCCACACCTGATGCTGTCCTGCCCAGCCTGAGAAGCGTTGAAAGAAGGCTCCATAAAGACCCTGTGAGAGCAGGAATACATCAGGCTGAGATGGAGAAGTTGATCWAGGCAGGATACGTACGAAGGATTCATCCCTCCGAGTTAACCAAAGGAGAGGAAGCCTGGTATATTCCTCACCACCTCRWCAGTCATAATGGTAAGCACAGATTGGTGTTTAACTGTTCCTTTCAGCACCGGGGTCAGAACCTGAATGAACATCTCCTACCCGGACCAACTTTGGGAGCATCCCTGCTGGGAGTCCTCCTCAGGTTTCGGGAACATGCTGTGGCAGTGAGTGGAGACATAAAGGCTATGTTCCATCAAGTCCATCTCCTCCCTGAGGATCGACCACTCCTGCGCTTTGTGTGGCGTGACTTGCACTCTGATGAGTCAGCTGCAGTGTATGAGTGGCAGGTACTTCCCTTTGGTACCACCTGCAGCCCTTGCTGTGCTGTATTTGCCCTACAGTGCCACGTAAAAGACCACAGCCACCCTGGTGAGGAAGTGAGAACATCAATAGAAAGATGCTTTTACGCTGATAACTGTCTCCACAGTCTGCCATCTAAGGAGGAGGCCAAAGATCTCGTCAATAAACTGAGAGCTCTTCTKTCATCAGCTGGATTTGTACTTCGACAGTGGGCCAGTAACGACTCATCKGTCATCAGCCACCTACCAGAAGAGGACCGATCCAACAGTGCAGAACTCTGGCTTGCACAAAGTAAGGTGGATTGTCCTGAATCAACACTGGGACTCAGTTGGCATTTTTCCACAGACATGCTAGGCTACAAACATCGTCCTGTTCACTATAGTGCTCCTACAATGCGTAGCATTTACAAAGTACTCGCCAGCCAGTTCGACCCACTAGGTCTCATCTTACCTTACACAACGAGAGCCAAAATGCTGGTGAGACGTTTATGGGACAAAATAGAGGTTGGG